TCTACAGACTGTCGGTTCACACCCCACCACAAGCCAGCAAAACATCCACGAAACAAAGAAAGGTCTGTCACAGCCAAAAAATACACTCCAGACACGCCGCTGGCACTAGAGGCACAGCATGGCCGCCTAGTAATGGCCCCGACCACTGCCGCTCGTATATTCGCCCGGTCGGGCAAGTGGTCCCAGGCCACTCAGGTCGGCTAGGTCGTAAGCTAATTGTTTGCATAACCATTATCATGTTAACGAGTTTGGATCTTTGGTTAGCATGTTGCCACCCACATCTAAGAACTGACATTTGCCTAACTCTTATTAATTTGTGATAATCGTATGAAATTCCATTCTGCAGTTAACAGTCCCCGCTAGCAAGTTAACAGAGGCTTACATCCAGATGCGCTAGCGGTGGTGTAACAATGCTTGGCCGTGGTTAAACCACCACTGGTAGGGTGCTTTTTGGAGTAGGCATCTCACCTACCGGTAGCAGGGGCTGCTACGACCTGTGAGGGGTAGGAAACCTGCCAGCAAACACACCGCCCGTAGATTCATCACTGCCTTGTAGTTGAAGGGAGGCCTGTAGATTGGCAATTGGTGAAAACAAAAAGAAACAGAGAAGATTTCATCCCGCCGTTTTTTGTTTTTCAAAACGTACCGCCATCCTCGCATGTGTTGACGCTGGAGAGAAAAGGGCCTTGCTTCACAACTCCCAACATGCACAAAAATATCTCCTTCCATTTTTCTTTGAGTCTGGGATTCGGGTCTGTGGTCTGTAATCCTAGGTCGTATTCTGTTTTAGGGTTTAGGGTCACTTCGTTTTTTTTTGCGTGTAGGTTAACTAGGTTGTTAAGGATGTTTTGTTAGTGTGCTTTGGTTTACTTATTCTTCCCGGGTGGACTGTTTTTCGTGGGGTTTGCCTAATTCAGGTAACTAGTTTTTTTTTTCACGTGAATAGGGGAAGGAGGGTGCTTCATCTGTCCCCAACACCCTCCCTCCCCTATTCCCTCACTCGCTCACTGGCACACTTCACTTGCTCGCTTGTTCCCTCACTTGCTTGCTCCCTTCCTTCCTCTCATCATCCCTCCCTCCCTCATCCCTCCCACGTGCCTTTACCGACTCAACCACTCACGCACTCAGTCACTAGCTGGTGCACTCTCACCTTCTCTCTCCTCCAATCTCTCACCCACCAAGTAATGCACTCACCTGCTCACTCACCAACCTACTCATTCACCCGCCCACTTGCTCCGCCACATACTCCCCACACTCACACAGCACTAGCCTACTCTGGCGTGCGCTGGCTTTCTGCACCACTTGCACATGCAATCTTGCTTTCTCCCTACCTCTCCCCTCATTTTAACCCTCACTTGCTTGCTTTGTTAGTCCGTCTGTGATGCACTCCGTCACCTCTCGCTTGTATTTCCACTTGTCAGCTGACACAGTTTTTTTTGTGGTTGGTAATACTTGGTATTACTGTGACAAATTCGCACAGGTTCTTGCTGCTCATCGATATGGCATAAAGCGGGTGATACTTCCTCATCGCAATGTCAAGGACTTGCAGGATGTTCCTGCGGAGATTGTTGCACAAATGGAGGTAGGACGTGTTGGAGGTTTTTTTTTTCTTTTTTCTTTTCTTTCTTTCTTTCTTTCTTTCTTTCTTTCTTTCTTTCTTTCTTTCTTTCTTTCTTTCTTTCTTTCTTTCTTTGTTTGTTTATTTATCTAATGAAAAGCAGGTCCTTATGGTCCTGGCTCCTTATCCATTCTGGGGATCGTCAGTCCGGTTCCTATTCCCCCGGCAAGTCAAGAATGAAATACATGGTGAACACCCTCACGCATCCTTCCGTTTGGCCAAAGGATCCCTGGCCAGCAGTGATTACTCCTTTGAGATGGATTGACTGTCAGCTTGCCCTTCCCTACTATTCCTCTCAGGCCCCATTTTGGTTCCTGTCTGATACAGTTTGACTTAGTGAGAATCGTGGGAAGTTCCACCTTCAATCCTGCAGTTCCGCTGCCGTGATCCTCTTGGAGGCACCCTTCATGGCAGCTCAGACTAATACCGCTTCTTCCAAACCAGCCTGTTGTCTGTAATGGTGGCGATTTTGCCCCGTATTAACCAGTCTTCAAAAAAATCTGTCTCTTGATTGCGTGCTTTTTTGGCATGTGCATTGTTGAAGTGACCACCTTTCGCCAACTGCTCCGAATTTCAGTTTCCACCATCCTCAGTAGCAGCGTCCACATTTCCTCTCTTGCTACTTCTGTCCCCTCGATTGCCCGTGTGCATCTGCGTTTCCAAATGACCCATAGTGCCAACTTCCTGAGTAACTTGAACCAGATGTCCTTGCTGCCTTTGAGGCTCCTGGGGGTGTTAGAGAGAAGCAGAATAGTTAGGGGGGGTGGTGAAGAGAAGAGGGTGGACCATAGGGTCCGGATCTTGTCCCATATCCAGACTGCTTCAGGGCAGAAGAGGAGACAGTGAGGGAATCTTCCGGTGTACAGGTATTGCACATAACGTGTAGTTCCGAGCTGTTGGGATCCGATTGTTTTCTCCCTTTATGGAGCCACTGGTTCCGCGTGGGCTATGAGCCATTGCATGCTGCGGAGCCTTACTGGTCTGATGGGAAGGTACTTCGCACATGGAATGGTGAAGGTGGCTGATGAGTTCAGATTCAGGATCTTCCTCCATCTCTCTATTAGCCCAGAGTTTGGATCTACCGTCCGCAGGCCGAGGTCGTATCCGAATTTCACATCGTGTTCAAATATCGTTCTTATCTTTTTTGTATTATCTTGATTCCATATCCATTCCTTGGGGTCGAATTCCAAGGCTCTTATGTTAAGTTCTGGTTGGAAGATTAGACATGGTTTATTGACTTCCCTGAGTAAGAAGGTCTCTAGGATCTCGGTCTGCAGTTCCGCGTTTAGGATTACTAGTTCTTGCAGGCTGTGATTGGAGATTGGGTATGAAACGAATTTGGACTGGTACTTGGCGCTTGTTGGAGGATCCTTCTTGGAGGAAGTATCAGGGTTTTTCACACCTCACTGGCGAACCACTTTAAAGTTCACTGGTGTTATACAGCCCTTGATCTTCGTATATCTTCCCCTGTCGTTCGTGAAGATAAGTTATGATCTTATTACTCCGTTGTCAGGATGATGATAAATTATGTTCCTATTACTCCATTGTCAGGATGATGATGCAGGACTCGATGAGGCCTTACTGCTCTTATCTCCTCTCCTCGCTGCTGTGACCAATAACTGCAAGAAGCACGAGGCAGGCATGTGGAATCATGTGACCACCCAGTCAAATGGGATGGAGTTCAACATTTCTCTCTCTCTCTCTCTCTCTCTCTCTCTCTCTCTCTCTCTCTCTCTCTCTCTCTCTCTCTCTCTCTCTCTCTCTCTC